GGGAAAGAGGTTTCATTCACTAGGTGTAGATCCACTATCAAGTGTTCTGGGTGAGAAGAGTTTTGGGGGTACATCTCAAGACTGAAGTGTGGGAGTCCTTTCCAATCTAAACGGCCAACTAGCTCTCCCCCACACCCCACCCCCATTCTACTCTAGTGGTAAGCTAAGGTCTGGGTCAACCTCACACCTAACACATGGGGCAGGCCACATTCAAGTACAGCTGCACCGGAAATGAACTAACGTTACGCCGGGAGTGCTTAGTCCGGGCGAGGCAGTGGCCAGCCAGGCAGAGCATAGAGCTTCTGTCTGGTGTATTCTTCTGGGCGACCAGCAGAGAAGGGGGAAGCACGAGGGAGGGAAGGAGGGTAGCGTCTGAGGCTACAGGGATGTGATGGGGGAGGCAGAGATCAGAGAGACGGAAGACAGACCCTCTGAAAGCAGGGACAGACAGAAAGACAGAGATCCACTGAGAGAGGTCAACGGAGTCAGAGACCGGCATGAAAATAGAGGCCAGTGGAAAAACACAGAGACCCATAATGAGAGAGGCTCGCATAGGGGGACAGAAACTCACAAAGGGAAGTCAACGGAGAAATACAGACCTGCTGAGTGACGGAGACTGGTAGAGACGGAGACCCACATAGAGACAAACAGAGACCCAAATACAGAGAGAGACCCACAAGGAGAACCACAGACCCTCAGAGAGCCCCACAGAGACGGAGACGCGACGGCCTCGGGCTCCTAGATTCCGCGGGGCGGCCCGGAAAGGATCGGCACCCGGGAGGACGGGGCCCGGGCCGGCCGCCGCCGCTCACCTGCCGTCCTCCCAGGGCAGCTGTGCCGTTTTCCTCCGGGAGGGGTAGAGATGATATTATCCAGCTCTCTTGCACAAGGGGAGACTGAAGCCCTTGGATGTTACCTGGTTTGCCCAAGATCACAAAGCTGGTTTGTGGCAGTGTGCCGTTTTCCTCCGGGAGGGGAACATCGTCGGGGGAGGCGGCGGCTCATGGGGCTCGAGCTCCCAGCCGGGCCGGCCCGGCCTCCCCGGCCTACGCGTCGCCTCCGCCTCCCGCCCCGCCCAAGCCCGTCCGCCCCGCCCCTCGGTCCACAGGGTCCGCCGCTCCGGCCGCGCCGTCTGCTCCCCGGAGCTGCGGCGTCAAAGGTTCCGCATCCAGAGGAACACGTGAGCGCTCCAAACGCCTGAACTGCTAACTGCTTTCCGGGGGCCGCTGAACATCCCGAGAAATTGAGGCCCCGGAGAGAGCTCAAGTCAGTGGGCTTGGACTGGATTTATAGACTCCAGACTTCCAAACCAGCGTTCTGGGATAATCTGCATCTTCCTCCTCTTCCCAAGGGAAGGCGTCTAAGTAGTCCTGCCGTCAACCCAAGTGCATTCTTTCTCCACAGCGAGCTTGGAGGGCGGCAGGGCCAAGCTCAGGGCTCAGTCTTGCGTTCAGCCTGATACCTCAAGTGACACCCCAAGGAGTAGTTAGGAGACAGGCACTAAAGGCAGATTGGCTGGATTTGAAACCTGACTCTGCCAGTTCGGCTGTGTTTTGGAGAACAGCCTGCTTCTGTTTCCTCATCTGAGTATATAAATGGTTCCTGATTTATATGGTTGCTGTGAGGATTAAAGAAGAAAATGCAAAAACTTGGTACAGTGATGGGCACAATAGTCAATGCTCTATAAATGGCAGCTATCATCCAGGAGAGGAGTACTTTGGTGGAGCTGAGAACTGAAGAAGGGAATAAGATTGACTTCCCATATCTGCCCTGTCACCATAAGAACTTAGGCCCCAGCTGGGCCAGCTTCCTACCTGGGAAAAGAGAGTGCCAGTTATTAGACTTGATCTCCTCTGTTCTTCCAGGCAAATTTTAAGTTTCCTAATAAATAACATCCATTGAGTTCTTACTTTGTGCCAGTCATTTTTCTAAATTCTTTACTACTGTTATCTCAATCTGTCCTTATGAGTATTGTACTTATTATGACCACTTTAAAGATGAGGGAACTGAAGCACAGAGAATTCAGAATGTAAGCCCAGGTAGTTTGGTTGCATAATCTATGGTCTCAACCACTCTGCTTCTGAGAGGACTTCACTATAGTAGGTAGGAAATTAATCATTCCCAGAAGCCCCCTTTCACCCAGCATACAATCCACCAGTCCCCTTCCTGCTAAGCTCTCCCAGGGCAGCGTACCTTATACCAGAACCTCGACAAATCCAGCCTAGATTTGGCTGATGACAAAGGCAAGGCTGAGCCCTGCAGAGACAGTCAGGTAAGGCCAAAGATGGAAACGGAGATGGGCCTGACCTGGAAAGCACAAGCCCATCTTAAGGGGATAGCTCCCATTCAGTCCAGCTAATTGTTGTCGCATCAGGATGAAGCCCCACTAGTATCAGATCTAAGTCAGGTTTCATGTAAAAATCCAAATTAACTTATTTTAAACTGTGACATCCACAATCATGTTGATAATTAGTACCCTTAATATGATGGGATGAGAACGGCACTTTCCTTTTGTGGTCTTTCAAAAACCCAGGACCCCAGTCTAATCATGAGAAAAACATCAGACCAATTGCAATTGAGGGAAATCTACAAAATGCCTGACCAGTATCCCTGAAAACTGTCAAGGTAATAAAGGAGGCAAGTCTGAGAAACTGTCACAGCCAAGAGGAGCCCAAGGAGACAACTAAATGTAACAATGGTATCTCCTAGATGGGCTCCTAGAACAAAAGTGACACTATGTAACAACTAAGGAAATCTGCATAAAGCATGGACTATCACTATTGATTCATTCATTTTAACATTAACAAATATACCATTCTACTGCATGATGTAAACTATCTTCACAATTTTTCTGCAATTCTAAAGCTGTTCTTAAAAGTTTTTTTTTTTTCCCCTAAATGTGGAGGTCTAAGTGGCAATATGAGCTCAGACTACATTCTCCTGACAGTTCAAGTAGTCCCCAAACTTGCCTCCCCACCCCATCTCCTTCTCACACACTGTTGGATTAACCTTCCTCAAGTTTATATTCAGGGTGTTCTAATACTCAAAATTTTGTTGAACACTGGGTAATATCCAAATCTCTTATCTGGCGTTCAAGGCTCTTCTAACTCTAACCAACTTTTCTTTCCAGCTTTCTCACAACCCCGCCCCCTCAACTCCAGGGGAAACAATGCCTATCTATCTGCATACCAGCTGTTTGCCTGTTTTCCTCAACCACCCCTGTCCTGCCTTCTTTCATCAGAATCCTTCCTCTCCTTCAAGGTCACTGCTGAGATCCCATGCTATTGGTTAAGTCCATCAGTATCCCCCTCCTGCCCCCAACTCAGGGATTCCTGTCCTTTCCACACCTGCAGCATTCCTCTGTTCAATGTGCAGTACCTTCACTAACTAGGCACTTCCTTGAAGCACCACAATTCTGTCCACCTTCTTTTCACTTGTTAGATGGTCTTGGGCAAAACCACCACCCACTGTCACTGGAGGGTATGGAGAGGATGAA